TTCATTGTAATTTTCAAGAGCAACTGGTAACATTTGCTTCTATCAATGAATACCACTGCCGCAGCACAATTAATATTTTGCTACACTTGTAATCTTAACAAAATTATGATGGATCCATTGGCCTGACCTTTTTATGGGTAAATTTAATCCCGTCACAACCAGGACGGTCAAGGGAGGGGGCGGGGCTACAGTATGCCGCGCGCTGAAGGGGCGGGGCGCAGAGTTTGAGCTCGATCCGATAGTCTTGTTATTGGTATCAGATCGTTATCGCACACTCTTCAAGCCCCTCCTTATTTTCTTCCCGGAAAACTCTTTTGATTTAATGAGATCATGTGAAGGAGAGAAAGACTCCCTAGAAAATATCTCTTCTCACATTTATTCCTCTTTGCCGTCTCATTTCTCAAGACTTTCTTTCTTGTCAACTTTCTTATTGGAAGAACTTTTCAGGATCTCTATGACTCGTCAATCTTTGTCGTCATCGTCTCCTGATGAGACTCGTCGTCTTCGATCCACACTCAAGGAGAAAAAGCGCAACATCGAAATCAACGACGCCTTTGAGAAACTCCAAAGGTACTCGCCTTACTTTTTTCCCCTTAAAATTTCCTCATTTTTCAATTACACGTTCGGATGACACAAAAAGAATAGCTAAATAATAAGATGATGAAAATGAAATGTTTTCCAGGCAACTACCTCATGTTCCATCTTCTACTCGATTACCCAAGATCAAAACACTACGACTCGCGCTTAAATACATTGAACATCTCAACACAATTCTGAGCGGCGATAAACAGGTACTGATCATTTGCATCTTTTATTCTTTTGATCTTTCACCACATTTTGACCGATTTTCTCACGGCAGATTTTATGTTCTATATATATATATATTATATTCCCCGGGCAGTACGCTTGACCCTTGGAGCACGAATATGACATTTATATAAACTGGAAGTGCGCCACGAACGCACAGGGAGTTCTGTTGCCGGCTGCCTTTCTGCACACCAGGCTGGTCTGATTTTCGTGATAAAGGGACCGGAAAATCTTTGGGGACAAGATTTTTAACGAGTTCCATGTCCGAGGTATTTTGGCACTGACGCCTCTGACGGGTACAAGGCGGCTTTGGACCGAACCAAGACGATATTTGGGTTCTCACTGCCAAATTCTGACCAAATCCACCTACGGGGAAGTTTCGTTCAAGTTGCATCCCCGAAGGTGTTCGTTCGTTCCCATGCCTCTTGCTCGAATTCCCTTTGTAAGCCATGACTTTAACAGTGCCCATATTTGCTGCCAGCAGGGCCTGTAATCTCAAAAAAATGCCAATTTCTCCATAGCTTGGAGGGAAAGAGATTTGTGGGGGTAATTTTTGCACGGATTCCGCTGATCTATTGCTTTTAAAAACTATGACTAAGAGCTGGTTCACTTCTCCCCTGAACAACAAATAAGAGCGGAAAAGACCGTCTGTATGGCTTTGAACGCCTTTCAAGCTTTGCGTCAAAATTTCTCATGATACTCATGTTTCTACGGCAATTGCTCAGGCTGTGAAAGGTCAGGAATTGATACTATTTGGGTTCAAAAAGTCAACAGAAAGTAGCACTATATGAATATGAAAGTGGGCAAGAGGCATAGGTACTAAGCAAAAAGATAGATGAAGATTTGACAATCTCGTCGTATCAAAGGGAATCATGTTTTATTTGACTTGCGCAGCGTCTTTCACGAACAACGATTATCATCCCCCCCTTTCATTTCGGGGCCTGTCGGATAAGGAGAGGGGAGCAATTCAAAGGAATTCTTCTGTAGAAGTTGAAGTATCGTTATGTGAAACCCCTTCTACACAACAAATTGGTTCACTCAGCACGTAAATATTTCCCTCGTAAGGTACTGGAAAAAACTCATCGCCATTGCAGCTAATTCGCTTTGCACACACAAAACTTCCCTGGAATGCACCCATTTTCTTCTTCACTACGGCCTTCATATTGGATATGTTGCTGCATTCTATCTGCTCATAAATTTCAGAATCATGTCACGATTAACTATGAGCAATCCACGTCCCATTTGTGTTGATGATTTCGCAGCGATCGCTATGCAGGAAATACAGGTCGGTTGTCTGATAACAGAAGCAATTTTTCCACTTCTGAGACGACTTCATAAATATTGGAGCAAATAGTCTAATTCTGAAATTACAATAATTTCAGATTCGAAATAGCTATACGGAACGAGCTCGATCAGAAGAGTGCGCTAACGGTAACGCTTCGCTTGTGACATCGTCATCGCCGACCACGTCCATGGAATACTGTCATCCTCCGGCTCATCACCTGCTTACTACCAGGCCGCTACTCAATCCAACAATATTCCTACCGTATTCCTACCACAGCAATCATCCTATTCCCAACACCACCAGAACTACTACTGGTCATCACAGCCGTAACATCGCCTTTGTATGAATTATGCTTGTTTATGATCGTAGTCGATCTCATTTCACTTGAATCATTGTTGTGTCAAAGGTGCCTTATCTTGCCATTTAACTTATAGTATTGTAAAATAAAGTTATATTGACAACTTTCTTGGCGTTCCATATATACAACAGAGAATTCGAGCACATGCACAGTCGTCATCACTGAAGTCAGTGAGGTTCTTGCAAAGGGG